AAGGTTTTGCGATTTTGCACGTATGTTTGCACCAAATATAGTAGCAACCAGTGGAAGCCACCCAGTCTTGATCTGCAGACATTTCAGCAGAGTTTTCACAGGGAATCACGGGTTCTGCAGTTTCGCACGTATGTTTTCAGCACGTACAGTAGCTACCCGAAGCCACCCAGTCTGGCGTAGCACAGAAGCTGCCTCGGGCTTGGATGCTCAATGGCTCAATGGCTCAGACATTCCTGCGTCAGGACACAATGGCGAGCCATCACCAGAGACCAGCGTCCGTCATGTGTCATGGGTCGATCTAATATTCTGAATAAACAACCAGTCTGCTGGACACGACTGAGAAAACACTCGATTGCTGGATACACAATTCAGCCCATTGTTGGAACAGAGTTGTGACATTGTTACGCAAGTTGGATAAGTCTAAAAAAAATTTCTTAATGCTCAACGATGACTGATCAATTTCCTCAGCTTACTTAAGTGGTAACTAAAATAAAAGAGTGTTGTACACGGACGCAACCTTCCAACTTCCATAACACTGACGGATACTGTGTATAGGAACACAATCTGCATTAAAAAGATTGGCGTCTTATTGATATGTTTATAGTCTGAATGATGAAACTTGACTTCTTAGCACTCGATCTACCTAGTGTAAGGCACTGGCCTGTAACAGGTGGGGCCAGGAGACAGGTTCCATCACGCAGACTATAGAAGTACCTCACATTGTGGGGGTCTTAGTACCATTATCACTAGACAATTGGTCAAGATCGTTCCCAACTCAATAAGGCAGGAAATTTCGGTTCGTTTTCCATAAAATCGTCCTTTAGTAAGCTGTTGGCTATTTTTTCCAGTAGCACCTCTATTAGCATATCCATCAACTCGCGTAAACATTTGGATGCTCTGTGATTCTTCCAGCGTCTCTACCTTGACCAGTCTGAGCAGAACCAAAAATAACTAAAATAAAATGCGAATAGCTGGCAAAATCTATATATTGCGATGGCGGAGTTCACTTGCAAGACTTAGAATAATATCATCAGCAGTATATTCGGTTCGGTGTTTCTGGATTCAGGGACAAGGAAATTCAACGTTAAGAAAATCGACGAGACTCATGGATCTAGATATTTCACCTCAGCATTTCTCCGAAAAGTCCACGAATCTCTGATATTCATTTATCTTCAAACAAAAAGCTGGAAAAGTCCACATATCAGAGCAAAATCAATCAACAAGTTTCCCACTGAGCAAACCTTGTAATTCCACACTAACAGCTTTGCAAAATAGTACAAACACGACAGTCCCCTCCTCAGCAGCGAGGGCGGGGCGAGGGTAGAGCCATGATAGACAGTCAAGGAGTTATCTAGCGGTTTAATGGAGGGTTATAGGTGAGGCCGAGGCGTGGCGGTGGTCAGTTACAACTTGATTTATTGAGTCATACCAGACTGTTGTAACAACTCTTCAACAGTTTATTGCACTTTTACTAACTTGCGTTGCAAATCATACCGCCTAATCGTGTTCGACGCGAGTCTCAGTGGTTTTCTGATGTACCGGGTTTTTAGATGTGGATAACGAATTGTGACGAAAAACTGTATGTTTAATGGCATCTTTTTAACACTGAAAGGCTTCTAAATTTTCGTAATCCCAGAAAACCCCTACACACATATTTGAGAACATGATTCCTTAGAAGAATGTCTTCGTGGTTAGAAATCTGTAGATTTGCCTTATAAGGAACTTCAGAGTATGAGAAGAAAATCAGAAGATGTAGATCAGTGGTTCAGCCATTTATTGATAAATATTAGAAAAAGTAAAAAGGGACCAATGGTTAGTATGACATGTCAGATAGTCCAGTAGAAGCAAAATTGGCAAAGTTGCCTATCAAAACTGAGAATAGTAAGTCCTACATTATTAAAATGTCGTTCAGAGATCAAATGCATGCTTTGTTCCAAGCAGAGTATTGAATGTATCTTGAGTCATGTCTTAGAGAATCAAAAATATTATTGTTAAACTCATATGTAACAATTATGTACTTCATTGAGTTGTCTAGTAAAATCGTAAATAAACAAGAAGAAAATCACCTCTTCACAAAGTTAATTCCTAGACGCTTGGCTATCGATATTTAGCACCATTCATACTATGAAGAGACTGCATAAACCAACAAGTAGGGCCTTTGGAAAATCATGAGATATTTGATTCAAGGCACGCTATAGTACTTTGAAACGCAGTGACGAATAGCCAATAGCTACCTAATTACCTCTCTTTCTTCATTGCTAAAGAGATCATAATCAAGTAATTACAGAAATATATTAATTATAAACAAAATAATCTCCTGATCTAAAAATTTAAAATGTGTCAAGACAAGGAGAACACCAAAGAAAAATTTTTGGAAAGTGAGAAATAATCTTCCAATAGTTACTCCTTTACGTACCTCATCGCTAAAAGTTTCAAACAACCTTTTGATTACTAATTTCGTATACTGGTAATTTCCTTGGGACGGGTGGCGTCGTCCTGTAATCCAGCTACTAGGAGGTCACGAATTGTGGATATTTATAGGCATGCAATGTGGATGCGATACTCCCTGGTGTGGGCGTCCGCACTAGTGAGTACTACGGCTATCCGCATTACTATCATAATAATTAGACCAATTCGTATATACCAAGGCAAAAATGTGGTTCGGATTCCACTAACTGTAGGTCCCTTGCCATAGCTGTAGGGGATATTAATAAACATCTGTGTCTAAGGAATGTTGGTCTTAGTCACTAACAAGACTACAAGATCGCGCCACTCATCCTACACTCATCTCCATTCATTGGCTTAAAATACCTACTTTGCATGGACGCCATTTAATAAGAAAGTATAAAGTATAAAAGATTTCAGATGTCCAAAGACGAAGAAATACTGCAAACAACGAAATAGAGAAAAATAGAACAGTAGCAGGCGTACCCAGGAGGGCGAAGCCGAGCGATGATGGGAGAGGCAGAGCCCCAGAGCCCATCCCTCAGGAATGTGACGACAAAAGAGCCAACGGTCAGTTTTAATTGCTTCACGCCGATGCTACCGGTGTTGAATCATTTCAATCTGGTCCGATTCGTCGCACCAGGCCAGACCTGCCGGAGCCTCGCGTTCCCACATCTCGCGATAACTCGTTGGTCGATCGTCGATCGGGCCGAGTAATCGATAATGACTCGTCAAGTGGGGCTTGTTTCGTGCTGTCGCTTGTCGCTTGATCGACGAACTCATCTTGTGGTTTGGGCTGGAAATGCTACGTGTTGGACAGATCCTAGGATAGAGTAGGTTCGAATCACATGAAATGAAATGAAAAATGATTTATTATCACAGACTAAGTTAGTGCTCTTTCTTACACTTACGCGTATCGGTTCCTGCACTCGATTAACACATCGATGCATTCATATTTACAAACGTCCTACCCATATAAGAAGGCGACCACTAGGACGACCTCAGCTAAGATGGCAGGACCAGGTGCGAAGAAATGTAGGAAAGCTAAGAGCAGAGACATAAAACGGAAGACGGAGAAAGGTGGCGACTTGTTGTTGGTGAGGCCAAAAACCTAGTGAGGTTTGAGTGACCACATAGGTAGGTAAGGTAAGGCTACCTTGCCTACCCAATAAGATATTGACTCATAAAAGCTGTGAACGATTTTTTTACAGTATAACTATAAAAAACACACAGGCTTATACTGTGCTGTATCTATAGTCTGTGCTATTGAGTTCCTAGAAGCCAAGCGTAGGTATTAGTAAATAATCTATTCTATATGATGTTTGCAGGTGTAGTCCGTAGGCCATTGGGCATTTTCCTCTATAAAACAATCGATGAAGAATACCGCAGTGTTTCGATGTTGATTCTAGCTTTTACACCCAAAAAATGTAAAGTATGGAGGTTAAGAATAGTCAAATTAACAGCACAATTTTGATTACGATAGGAAATCCTGGAGAGCTAAAGGTTCTTTCCTCGACCCTCTAAGTCACAAGAAATCTCTTTCAGAATTAAAATTCCAATTAGATAATTCTTTCGTCGCCGCGGCGGTTGCAAAGGTGAATCGAACGCGAACAAAAACCGCCTCTTGCCTTCAGTGATAATTATCGGCGGCTTCAAAGGCATATCTGCATTTGTCAATTTTATTATACTCGTGTCAACATCTGATTTACCGTCCGGACTATATGTAACGCGAGAATGGTGTTTGACGGGATTTCGGTGGCAAAAAGTGTCAGTTTTATCCGATTTAAAAACTCAACCCGTCTCCATATGGAGCTATTGCAAAAAGGTAATAACGCCGCGCTTTTGATGGGTTACTTAAATTCGGCCGAAGAAGTTTAGCGAATCGGTATTTCCGCTCGGAGTGGCGAGGAGATCGCTTCATATCAGGTATTTGGCAGTTGTGCAACTGAGAGGGAAATTGGGCGAGCAAGTCATGGAAAAGTGATGCATTTTAAGCTGACTTAGGCAAGATTAAGTATTGAGAAAAGGCAAGGCACAAACTGGAAAACATTCCTCATTTAAAAGGGTCAGAAAATATCTTCTGATCCTCAAGGGAATTTTCTTCAACCAGGCAAAGAGGTAAGGCTACAAGAGGCTACAAAACTCGGGTGGTCAGGTGAGTTATCTTCTTAGAAGTTAAAAGAGAGAGTTGAGGTAGTCGAAAATTTGTTCCTCCCAAACGTGATTGAAATATACATTTAGTTCTCGTAGATTTTTCCTTTGTTTAAAAGAAGTGTGAGTGTAGGTGAAAAGCTTTTTGGGAAAGCGGTCGAAATCCATATACATGTAACCGCACGAGATAATTTTACTTTTTTCAAAACAAATATGTTTTGAAGCGATGAAGTATTGACCAAAATACTTTGTCTCGTTTTATGATCGGCATTGTAAAAAATTCTGCAGACAATTGCTGCACAACGACTAATCGAAGAAAGAGCACGTGTTGAGTTGAGCAAACGACAAACTCAAGTGACAAAGCTGCTAAAACTATCTAAAATAATTGCATGCAATTCACTCACCCATTAATGTCAGTCTGTGTGAGGAACCAGCGAAGCAAAGTTTTGACAATGCTGTGCCAAATCTGAGTCAGCAAAGCATCAGATTTGTCGTTGCAGTTGTCTAGGAACTTGAGCGTCTCTTGGTCCATCGACAGTTGGAGGAATATCCTCCTCATCTCCGGAGGAACTTGATTCGCATCTATCTCGTACCACTGTAAAAACAATCAAAATGTTAAAAATATTTATGGGTTTATTTCTTTGCACCTTTGAAAAAAAGTGAAACAGAAATTCAATTGCAATCTCACAATCATCAAAACCTTAGATGACGAAAAATGGAATACACCAAAGGTAAAACGGTTATTTATCTTTGAAGAAGTTTTGTCTTATTATCTATTGCTGATAAATATCAATCCTGTACAATAAATATCACAGTTTTCAAACACTCATTTTAGTTAACGATGAATTTTCGTATTTTGCTAAAATTAATAACTACCCCCTATTTTTAACCTTATAACGCATTCTTTCCAAATTTCGTTTTACATTGTGTTGATGCTTATTTAGAATGTTTAGTCTCACGATATGTACTCACTTACACGTGTTATCTTTCTATATATAAAATCCAATGTATGTTTGTTTGTTTGTTTGTTTGTCCTTTGTGGACTCCGAAACCGCTCGACAGATTGTAATGAAACTTTCAGGCATTGTTAAGCATTATTCAAGGATGGTTTGTGTGAAGTTTGGTGCAGATCCGTCAAAAGGGCTCCACCCCAGTGGCTCTGGAGTTTCCCATGTTAACGTTATGAGTACTCATATTTAAATGGAATTAAAGAATCATAACAGCTGGTTCAACTAAACAATTTGATTCTGTGATGTTCAATAGCATTATAAAGTTAATAGGTTTATCAACAGGGTGCAGTACTATTATTTTTTTAATTTATGACAACAACTAATTTGCAACCAAAAGGTGAGTGAGCGTAGCGAACGAACTTCAACCTGGAGGCGAGTTATCGTAGCGAACGAGCTAACCTGAAGGCAAGTGAGCGCAGCGAACGAGCTCCAACCTAAAGGTGAGTGAGCGTAGCGAACGAAATTCAACCAGGACGTGATTGAGCCATGCGAACGAGCTCATCTTGAAAATTAACGAGCATTTGATATAAAACCACATTAGGACAGGACGACGTCTGTCGGGCCAGCTAGTAAAAAAATAAACCAATTAGTTAACTCTGGTGTAAACCTTTAACTGTTTCAAAGAAATAACCCAGATTTTTTACGAACCTAAAATCATTAGATTTCAAATGGACTTGCGCTTAACAGCTTTAACAGTTGGTTATAATATGGTTGAACAATCTTTCGAATAATTAGTTGATTATTAGACAATAAAATTCTAATTGGTCCATAGCTTTTTCTAAGAGAACCACTTCAATTCAAACGTGATCACTACAAAAACAATGTCCTCTACAAACTAGTTTCCCCGCGTAAATCCACGTCTTGCAATCGCCACGGCATGGAGAAAATGGTTTATGGAATAGGGAAAGGATACATCTCGTAAAAAAGCCCATAGTTGAATACGAGACCAGACAGACTGAGGACGGAAGCCACCCATCACGCGTTGAAAACTCGTAAATATTGCCACATTGTATTCATCTCGTCCGCCCTAAAGCCTACGTTGTGCTAATGTTGAAATAGTATACGGCCTGTATTAATGGGGAATAATTATCGTTTGTCAGTTGGTAGCAGTGGTATAAACAGGTGGCTAACAGCTGACTGATGTACCATTGTCAGCTGACCTCCCGGGTTGGGTTAGGTTTGGTCCACGCAAAAGTAATTAGTGTTATTTATTGGTGTGTGGCAATGTTTGAATGTTGTTTTTGGGAAGGTGAATGATTTTAATTCTCCAGTTAAACTTAGACAAATTTTGTATTTTTATTTTAGGAAAATATAACGAGAAAAATTTTTTAGAACTTTTGGGCTCGAGTAAAATTTTATAGGGCCATTTAAGAGTTCCTCAAGTTCCCTACTGTATGCATCACTATGGTATGTAATCTGTATGATGGAACCTGTCTTCTGAACTTTTGTCTAGGGCTTAAAAATTGGGCAAACCCCATGTAGACGATTGGGTGTAACAATCCGGAGGACAAAAAAATAACATATGTGACCACAGTGTGTACTATTCGTGTCTTAGGGGTTCTGGCAGATCTCCAAAATGTATTTTAAAATACTTTTGGTCCTTATTCGAATTTGTTCACATAATTCTAAAAACCGTATAATAATATTTATTAGCTGCTCTAGTTTTTATTTGCTTTGATAATTTAAAAAAAAACCGTTGAACAATATTGGGAATTAAACGTTTCCTGTTGGAAAATGTTCATTGTAGTAAATGTAGCGTAGGAATTACATCACATCACCATGTTTACATGATGGAAATCTGTTTACTAGTACTGATTAGTACTATATTCCATTTATAGTCTAAGCCATTTCTATTGTATAGAAAACCGCTCACAGCTCTCTCAATTAGTCATTTTACTAGCATTTAAGGTTATCACGATAAATTATCTGGCCCAAATACAATATTTATTCAGTCATATTAAAATTGGAAATATTTGTGAATACCCTTGTAACATTGTAATAAAATTACAATTACCAGGATATAAATGATGAAACATTTTGAACACGTAGAGTCAAATAACACTAAAACATCTCAACACATGTAAATTACCACTAGCAACACTATCGTTTTGTAATCATATATCGTCTACACGTGGCCGATTTCACAGCACCGCAGATCACGGTAATCGGCGCTGATTTCCACGTCACGACACCCATATGGGACGATTACCTTTCCGCATTCCGGTAAACCAACAATAGTAAGACAGCCATCGATAATCGGCAAAAACTGCGTAAAAAGAAAATTGCATTATAATGAGGCCTGGGTGGAAAGGAGGCAAATCATAACCGTCTTTGTAGCGATCCGTCACGGTGTTTTTGCCTCCTAAACTCCCACTCGGATCCTCCGTTTCGTGTTTTTAACGCTGCATGGGAAATGACCTGGTTCGGACCATGAGAATGCCATTGTGCAAAATGTTTTTGAACACGTTGATAGTGTTGATTTGGGATACTTCTCGTCGGCAAAAGGCGGGACTTCGGTCTTTGAGGTCCCGGGTTCAAGTCCTGCCAATCACAAAAAGTTTTTTTTTTAAGTGGTAGTGCCACGACCCTCTACGACTAGCCTGTAGTAATGTGGTAAAATGATTCCGACCTAGAAATTGGAGGAAAAATATGAACTACTAAAATACTAAGTTGCATAAGGGGAGTGAGCTTGTCTAGTGGTAGAGCACGGAACTTCGGTCCCCGGGTCACGGGTTCAAATCCCGCCAATCACCAATGGATTTGATCCAAGTAATAAAACCGCGACCCTCTACGACTAGCCTGACGTAATATGTAAACAGTTCCGGGCTAAAAGGCGTTCTAGGATGTGAAGGTAAGAATTAAAAAACCAAAACAAAATTTGTACGATGTGAAGCCTGTTTGATGTGTAGCTTGAGTTCAACTCAACTTACATTTAACATAATTTTATTTATTTATAATTTTGTTGTTTTTTTTTTTTTTTTTTTTTTATTTTTTTATTTGAGGGTACTTAATTTACAACGTGAGTTATGCTTATGAATAAAATACAAGAAGAGTTTATTTTACAATACATAGTTCAACATGGTCGTAATAACTATGTTAGTAAAATAACAAGAGATGAAGTATAATTCGTCGAGAAACTAATTATAACCAGACATAAGCGTAACTTACAAATTATAAATGTTACCACTATTTTTCATAAATGAATTGCAACTAAACATGGTACGGAATGTTTAATTTATGCTAAGAGCCTGAAGACTTGTGAATCATAATTTTAAACCAGAATTTTGTGATTATATCCATCATATTTTAAACACTGCACGATTTATGTCATCTAACAAATAAATAAATAATAACTCATGTTTTAAGCTTTCAATACCAAAGGGAAGATGCCCTGCATTTGGCAATCATAGAGAACAATAATATACATCATGTTGTTTTACTACTTAAATGTAACCAAAACATTTACAATTAACGCAAGTATGTGCATTATTGAATAGTAAAACTTTTAGGTGCATCAGGAATTAATTAAGGAAAGGATCCCGATACTTTTTAATTTACATTCAATTCGGCATAATAATGACCGCAGAGGATAGCACTATCAAAACTGAAATTCAAACGCATTTTGTTATGTAATGTTTTGGGGACTAGAAAAGATACACTCCCTACATCACTTTCCAATGGAAAAACTACTTTTGCTGTTTCAACTCACTACTTCATAGTTCCACACAAGCAACCACACACTCCCACCCACGCAACTGTTGATCAGATCAAACGAGAACAATATTAATGACTGGCACGCCTGATTGATCCGTGGTCCGACCTTAATTATTTTAATGAAGTCCGAGATCTGCGATCATTAATTAGACAACTGTGCAAATTGCGGCGATCTGCATTTCAAATGCAACCTTGTACGGAAATGAGATAATTAGTGTATCGATGGCCACTGGCTGATCAGATAAAGCTTCTGTGGTGGCCTGACTTGCGTAACACCTACTATTCCAATAGTCCATGGTCTACTGAAGGCTTAGGGTCGTGCTTTAATTGCGCCAAAGTTCCTTAGTTGCGCCAAGCCATCTAAGGGTCCAAAAAAATGTTCTTTGGTTGCACCACGTTCAAGCCTGGTAGGGGTGAGTTGCCGGCAGAAGGGATGTTCTTGTTTACGTGTCATCCTAACCTAACCTAACTTACTCGATTATACATTCAAAGATGGCCACCACTTGGGACAGTTAATGAACGTATCGGGTAGCTCCATGGAGTAGTTGGCGCAATCAGGAATACCCTACTACCTCATGCAGGTAAGTTGGCACAATCAATGCCCGCCCAGGTGAATGAATGTTCCAAGACTAAGAATACGTAATATACGATAGTTGATACTTAAAGTTTTCATATTTGACCATAACTGGATTGATTGCGTCAGAGTTTTTGGCTGGATAATATTTCCAAAGTCGTTTTCAAAGTACTAGGTTAACGAGTAGGCTCTGCCAATGGGTCACGACTTAATTTTGGTCTTGACACTTGTGATCCAAGCGTTTGACTCCAGTTGGAAGCCCATAGAATTTCTTGAGTGCCAGAATTTTCTAGTTAA